AAGAAGAAGAAGAAGAAGAAGAAGAAGAAGAAGAAGAAGAAGAAGAAGAAGAAGAAGAAGAAGAAGAAAGAAGAAAGAAGAAAGAAGAAGGAGAAGGAGAAGGAGAAGGAGAAGGAGAAGGAGAAGGAGAAGGAGAAGGAGAAGGAGAAGGAGAAGGAGAAGAAGTTGTTGTTAACAGAAACTTGAGTAACTGGTATGTGAGTTGATACAAAGGGGGCAATCATGACTGAATTTTGTCAATTGTTTTGTGGGAAGGTAGATAGATCCACACAGAACATCCAAAATTTCAGAGTAAGCTCAAGGTATGAACCTTGTCATTGAATCTCGTAAATCAGGAAAAAACATCTATGCAATGGATATAGGGGACAACATTTTGACATTTATTACTCTCACATTATACTTGTAGCCAAGAAAGAGAAAAGAGAAATAAAACTAGCAAACAAAATTAGAGATTTACATTGTACAGAGCACTACTGTAATTATATTGTATGTATTATAGAGCTCTCTAAGTGCATAATGAAATGTCTGAAAAAGATCTCTTTTTAAGGTATTTTTCATTTATTTACTCTTTTGTCCATGTTTTTTTATATCCTCGGCCTAAATTTTTTGCAGGACAAGTACTTTATAGTCAATACCTGTGGAATGGATAGTTGAGGCAGGAAGCATAAGTATATATGGCATTGATGCCTTTCCAAAAGTCTTTTGTGAGGGACAGCCCTCAGAATAAAAGAAGAGATAATACTTTAAGCTCAAGTAAAAAGAAAGCAGAGAGTAAGCCTGGTGGTTCTGCCCAGTGGAGCCTCTCTTTCTGCAGTGGCTTCTAGATGTTTCCTCTTTCATTTCTAAAGCCTAATCAAGGGTTCAATGTACTGCTGTGCTAAGGAAAATGTTTAGAGATCTGGTAGAAGCAAAGACAGCATTCTATACTGTGCATCTGGATAAACTGAGTAGTTCCACCTTGTTTGATAAAATGACTGTAGTGCTAACCAAAAGAATGGGCATGATTACCACTTCCTTTCTGTGAACTTTAAAGACCCAAACACAATGGGTAGGGGTGAGAGGAGGAAAAGTAAAGGTTAGTAAAAGAGGAGAGAATGAAAATACCTAAAGAACATAAAGGACACTGCTTGTTAATACAATTTTTCAGATTTTTATTTTGTTTGGCTTTTCCCAACAGAATGAGCATGGATCCTTGAGCCCTCACCTCAGTGACTAATAGTCATGCAGATTAAGCCTTGTCTTGCTGGAGTTAAAGGAGTGTTCTCTTTGATTCTATTTGCAGATTACTCTTATAGAATTCAATTTTCCTTCTGCTTTATGAATTCATCATACGTTTTAATAAACAAACAGGCTCTTGTGTGCTATAAAAAAACTGAAAAAATAATTGAACCCTAACAGACTTACATCTCTACTGGGTGTAGATCACACTGCACAGTACACTGCAAAGGTTCACAGAGCCAGCTGTATGAGCCTATGTGTCTTTCCATGCCTCCATCCTGTCTCCTCTTTTGACCCGATTTCATTAACTGCTTGACTTAATGCTGCTTATTGGAAAATATACTATATTTGCTTCTATTTGTATTGGTTTGTTGTCTTACTGGCTTTTCTGTAGTCTTGTCATAGAGATGTCCAAACAAGCTGAAAGAAAAACTGTCCTGACTTGTGGGTTAGTCAAAGAAGGTCACCTGGGAGAGGAGTGGGGAATGGAGGAGGGGACAAAGGACAGGAGATGTGAGAAATGGAGACAAGACAGGATTCTGATCAAGTCTTATTTATTCAAGGGAGGTCTGGGTATATATAGGGAGTGTAGGAATGAAGAAGTCTCAGCTCTTGATTCATGGAAAATGGGCAAGGCAGGAAGGAGCAGAAACTTAACTCAGCAGGGGAATAGAAACTTAAGAAAATGGCTGACACTATTATGAAATGGATACCAGTTAATGACTTCCCACAAAAAAACAATAGAGTAGGAAAGGTAAAGAGATAGAAAGGAAGGAACATTGCTGTTTTCTCTAAAGGTAGGGTGGTACACTGGAGAAGATCTTAGCGGGGATGCTTTCATATTTAGGCTACAGTGTAAGTTTAGATAAATCATTTTTGTGCTAAATTTTCCATATGCAAAATAAATTAGAAGAATTATATTAGTGAGAGAAGAGACAGACAGACAGACAGAGACAGAGGCAGAGACAGACAAGGACAGAGACAGAGACAGACCAAGGATTTCTTCTTTAAGCCCATCAGACCTAGTTTTATCTCTTCTATGTTCGAGACCTGAACCATTAGTGAGAATGTATTGTTTTTCCATGTTCAGAAGCTTCTTTCAAAATTTGATGCTACCAGGACAGATCCTAAATTGTAGAAAAGAAAGTGCATTTAGTAAGAAAAATGTCAACCAAAGTGGAAGAAAGTTCTAGATAAAGAAATAATGGAAATATATTAATACTACACAATTTTTCTCTAAGATTTGGAATAAATGAATTAGTGTAATTCAAATTAGCATTGCTGTGCATGTGTGTGTGTATGTGTGTGACAGAGAGAGAGAGAGAGAGAGAGAGAAAGAGAGAGAGAGAGAGAGAGAGAGAGAGAGAGAGAGAGAGAGAGATCGAGATCATATTCCCAAATTCACACAAAAAA